AGCAACCCCTGTCAGGCATTTTGCCTTGCTTGCTGCTCAAGCAGTGGAGGTTGTGGCCAGCCCTGGCAGTAGCCTCAAGAGAATAGGGGAGAGAGGAGGTTTAATTTTGCCCTCTGTCCCCTGTCTGACTGGCAGGACCTGAGCCACAGTCTGGCTGGCATGGCCCCCTGAAGCAAAGGGGGCAGGGAGGGGTTTATTCCTCCTTCCCTCCCCTCTCCTTCCAGGAGACCACAGCCAGCGTCTGCCAGCTCGGGCTGCTGCCTCCACTGCTCGCCTCAGGCCAGGCAGACCCCAACTGGAGTTCCCCAGGGGAAGAGGGGACAGAGGGGGAAATAAACTTGCTCCCCTTTGCCTCAGGGAGCCATGCTGGCCAACAACTAGCCACACTCCTGGCTCTGGACCAGCAACTACGGAAGGGAACCTGATGGGGAGCTCAAGCCTCCAGAGTCCCCCAGCATCCCCCAATGGAGGGGCTGCACTGAGGGTGGGAGCAGGGCGGCCAGAGGTGCTGCAGCCAGTGTCAGGTGAGCAGCAGTGGCAGCAGGGCTTGGAGGGGTGGGTACCAGGGCTAAGCCACATTTTGAGGTGGCCATAGTCCCCCAAGGTCTGCTTAGCACTGTTGCTTGCTCTGTGGAGGCTGCGGCAGCTCTGCCCTCCTCACTCCAGCCCACAGCACAGCCCCCCATTGGGGAGAGGCTTGTGCTCCCCGGGAATGCTGCCTTGTTAGGGTCCCTCTCCGTCTTGCTGGTCCAGTGGCAGGGATGAAGACATGGCCAGAGTCCGGCCAGCACGGCCCCTTGAGGCAAGGTGGGCAGGGAGGGGGTTTATTCTCCATTCCCTCCCCTCTAACCCAGGGAACCCCAGCTGGGGTCTGCCTGGCTGGGGATGAGTGGTGGAGGCAGCAGCTGGGGCTGGCGGACCCCGGCTGTGGTCACCTGGGGGGAGATGAGAGGGAGGGGGGGAATAAATCCCCTCCTTGCTCCCTTCACCTTAGGGGGGCATGCTGGCCGGCCTCTGGCCACACCCCTGCCCCTGAGCAGTGGGGGGCATGAGGGGAGAGGGAGGAACCTGACATGGACTCTTGTTCCCCGGCCAAGCAGACCCCGGCGCAGGTCCTGCCAGTGGGACAGGGGATGAAGGAAGGAATTAAACCCCCTATCTCTGCTTGCTTCACACTGCTGCTGGGGTTGGCCACACTCCCCACTGCTTGAGTGTAAAGGGATGGGGTGGGGAATGCCTGGCAGGGGTTGCTTCCTCATTTCCTCTCCAGGCACACTCCTTCTGGAGTCTCTGAAGGCCAGGGTGGGTTTAAACCCCTCCCCAATCATACTCAGTCTTCTGGGGCCTGGCTACACCCCTCACTTAGCAGAGCTGCCCTGCAGCAGAGGGCTCTCTCTAGCCTCCCCTGGCTTCTAGCCTGAGCCACTGCAGGCATGTGCCTGCATTTCTGGAATCAAAAGGAATGTCTATTCACTTGCAAATAAGTTCAATCCATGCAGGTTGGACTAACCTGAAAAGACTAAATCAATTCAGGCATCGGCTTTTGGAATGCTTGTACTCAGCTGCTAGGTCAATTTTGTGAGACAGTTCCTAAGAAAATCGAAGTCTGAGTAATTCTGCATTCTTATATATGCATTTAAGTGCAAACTTTTCAGAAGCCTCTTATAAAAACTAACTCGCTTCATCTTTATCATAACTAACCTGGATTTTTGTCATTATGAAGTAGAATTTTTCTTTAAGTAAAATAGCGCATTTCTCAGGCAACATCAAATTTGAAACACACACGTTTCATAGATTTCATAGACATTAGGGCTGGAAGGGACCTCGGAAGATTGAGTCCAGCCCCCTGCTCAAAGGGCAGGAAGTCAGCTGGGGTCATAGGATCCCAGCAAGATAAGCATCCAATTTGCTCTTGAAGGTGTTCAATGTAGGTGCTTGAACCACCTCTGATGGCAGACTATTCCAGACCTTGGGGGCTCAGACAATAAAGAAATTCTTCCTCATGTCCAGCCTGAAATGGTCTTGCAGTAGTTTATGACCGTTTGACCTCATCATCCCTTGGGGTGCTCTGGTGAACAAACGTTCCCCCAGAAACTGGTGGTCACCCCTGATAAACTTATAGGTGCCATCAGATCACCCCGAGCCTGCGCTTTTCCAGGCTAAAGAGCCCCATGGCTCTCAGCCTGTCGTCGTAAGGCCTATTATCCTGACCTCTGATCATATGCATGGCTCTTCTTTGGACTCTCTCAAGCTTCTCCACATCCTTTTTGAATTGTGGAGCCCAAAACTGGATGCAGTACTCCAGCTGCGGCCTCACCAAGGCTGAGTACAAGGGGAGAATGACATCCTGGGATTTGCTTGAGAAGCGTCTATGGATGCAAGCCAGCGTTTTGGTCGCTTTAGTAGCTGCAGCATCTTTCTAAGGCACTAGGGATTTCTTTTTACATTACTGAAAAAATAAAGAATTTAACTCCCTCTTTAGTTTGAAGAAACTTACTAAGTACCTTTCTAAAAGGCTGGCCCTCAGGATATGATTTATATTGACAGACTAAGAGAATATATATGAGGCACATTATATACGCTTGCCAGGATAACAGTTATGGATTACATTAAATGAGAGTTGAGGCTCAGCCCCAAAAAACTCAGATCTGACTTCAAGAAGCACAAATTATTGTTAGGAGCTCAAAAGGATTTTTGGACAGGATGTTGAAACAAGAGTATAACTCTGGGGGATTTGAGTAGTCCTAAAATATATGAATGAATTAATACTTCTATGAAAAACATCTCTCATGACAGAAGCAGAACTGCATCAGTGCCAAATGCTTTTGAAAAACTCACCTTTGGGTATCCAATTTTGGAAAGTCTTACTTTTCTTTGGAGACTGAACTGACACTCATTAAAGTCAATCAGAAGACACCCACTGATTTTATTGAGCATTATGTGTCATACTCTCAGGTATGCTTCAACTGTGAGCAATCTGACTGAAATTGTAGGAAGTGGTAGCAAAAGGACTGAGAAGTATTCTGTTTACCTCTGAAGTTGATCTTGGTTATCAAAAGGCCTAAACACTTTTTCTTTCCTTTTACATCAAATGTCAGATTATGTAGGTCAATATGTAAGTATCCAGATCGCTCACATAAATTATAAATCATTTTGATAAATTCAACAACTACTACACAGTAAAAATAGTTCTAGGTGCCAGCTGCAGATTAATATTTAAAAGATAGTATAAAGTTTTATATCAGGACAATATCAATCGTGGAAAGACAGAAAAAGAAGTTAAAAAAATAAAACACCCACATCTTCAAAATCACATTGATCAGAAACAACTTGCACAATTACCATATTTCATGGTGTACAAGTTGGCGTGGTATACAAGTCGACCTCATTTTTCTGATCCAAAAATTTGAGTTGACTTAGACACCAGATCTATGAAAATCCTATCTTTTTGGAGCAGACATATTGGGTCAACTTATACTGGCCCCTGCATGCCCTCACTGTGAGCTGGGCACTGGTGGGGGCAGGGATGGGCATGTGCTGCAGCACTACTTGCAAGGGGTGGAGCCAGGCTCAGCGCTTGGCTGGAGTGGTCCAGGAAGCACTGCTGGGGCTGGGTTTGGTGTTCAGCTGGCATGGCCCCATCCCCTGTGAGTGGTGCTGCCTGGGCCGTGCCAGCTGAGACCAGCACTACTTGCAGGGACTGGGGCTGGGGCCAGACTTGGCACCTGGCCAAGTGGCATCTCCATGGTGACAGCAAGGCCCATAGGCTGCAAGCTCCTGCAAACCCCAATCTGTGGGGCCTGCTGTCACTATGGAGATGCTGCTCAAGTGAGTGGTGCTAGGCTTGGCGTTTGCCTAGTGCGGCCCATGCAGCACCCAGCAGTCTAACGCTGAGCCCGGCCCCATCCCCTGCGAATGGTGCTGCCAAGCCTGGCGCCACTCGCTGGGGATGGCGCCAAGCTCTGTGCTCATCTGGTGTGGTCCAGGCAGCACTGCTCCATGGTGACAGCAAGGCCCACAGGCTGTGCTTGGGCTAGGCCCAGGCCCTATGGCCTCCAGCAACAGGTACACTGTTGGGAAGTGAAGAAAATCAGGTCGGTTCAGGGCTCAGCCAGAGTTCAGCCAGGGCTGGGCTGGGGGTCAAAAGTATTGATACGGTGTATAAGTCAAGGTAAATTTAAATGGTCTGACTTATACACTGTGAAATACAGTAGTCTCAACATTTTAAAAATAATTCTTCCTTGGACAGTAACTAGACATGAAAAAAATCACTTAGCTAGAAGCCTTTTTTCCTGCCCAGCTAGAACATTTTGCATGTGTGCATGCTTAAGAGGACTCTGGAGTTACTACGTTGGCTTCAGAAGTGTGAACCTTGCTCTCATCATGTCATAGAGAGAGATGCCTGAGCCTAGTTCCCGCCTTGGATGCATCAACTGCCTTTTAGATGGTAAGGTAAATAAGCACTTCATGTACAGGGAGAGCTGCAGGGCTAAAGATGGCTGCACAGGAGATCCTGGTCCAGAGAAAGGAACCTGGTAGGTGGAGGTTTACCACATAACCCAGGTATAGGGATCAATTGAAGCCCTGTGAAACAGTAGCTTTAGCACAGGCCAGCCAGCAGGACCTGGTTTACCTGCTTTGATTGACATAAGTTGTGTTTGTCTCTGGACAGTGAACAAATATCCCACAGAACAATGACTGAAATATTGATATCAGTGATAAACTAAGCTAGTGAACTGATATGGCTGTTTCCACTAAACAAAAAAAAAGGCAGAGTTTGTGAAGACATTACTGTATAGGTCAGAAGGAGAAGCCCTGCAGTAAGTATAGAGCAATCAAGGTGGACTAAAGGATTAATCCAAAATCCTAAGTGAAGTCAAGGGAAACCTTAGTATTGACTTTAATGGCTACTGAGTCAAGCCTGACATTCATTCCCTTTGGGACATAAAATGATAACTATTAATTCAGATTCCACACATATAATTATACATCATGAGTACCTGAATGAAAGGGAAAAGTAGTCCAACTGTGAAGTTACAAAGCCAGTTGACTGTTCCAGCTATCATAAATGCAGCTGGCCTTTGAGACTGCTCGAAAAACTCTCCAGTTAGGACAAATGGAATCCCACCTGAAATACAACAGCCAAGAGTACAATGGTTTAATAAATTCTTTGGTGAGTTCAGTAAAGAATGTGAACTTGTAAAAAACCCACAGTAATCAACGCCCAGTGCATTGATCATCTTGTCAAACTAGAAAAGTAGGGTTCTTCTGGGATTTATTTTGCTACATAATTTATTGCAACTACTTTGTAAGAGATTGACCTTATGCTCCATTACACCAGTTCTGCAGGATTACAAATCCTTTGGGTAACTACAGTGATGGGACACTGGTAACAAAATGGAGTATCCAGTCCAAAGTACTGCCCAGTTGAACATACCATTGATAAAAATGTTAATAGCTTAATCACTGTTCTTGTTGAAACCTTTGAAACACTGAGGACTATTTTGTGATAGGAGGTTCAGAAAAATATTAAGCAGTATTTCTGGGATAACTATCCACTTCTCTGAAAACAGTAAAGTTGGAAAGGAAATGGTAAACTCTATGCAAGTTTTCAGGGTTTATTGTTATTTATTTAATATATACCTATTATTTATAGAAATCCTTTTTTAATACCTTTTACAACTCCACTTTTTATATAAAATCATACATTTAGAGAACAAAACCCATTTATGCTATACATATCCTTGGGGTTGGACTGACAGCTTTGTGGGATGGGAACTACGTCTTTATTTGTTTTTTTGTAGCACTGAATACATTAGTTTATGATTAACAGTGATATATCAACATATTATAATATAGTAGCCAGTGCTTACCTGTACCACACTAAAATACATATTATACCAACAGGCCTATGAGCATCACAGGATCACACTTTGAAGACAGACATACCAAGGGACATGGAGAATATATAAGGACATATATCTTATCAACATATAGGAGGAAGACATTACTGCCTCAAAAAAATTTTACAATGAACAAATGTGATCAATTGGTTAAGCAAAGTATGCACCATATCAACCACTATCATTTACTTTTATCTAAGTACTACTGTAGAGACCCCAACTGAAATCTGGGCCTTATTGTGACAGATGTAGCACATACAGGGTGCATCTACATGTGCGCTTTACTACAGAATAAAGTAATTAGCTCCACAGTAAAGCACCACAGTCTACACATGCCCCGATATTAGAGTGCAGTAGATTAATTAACTCTGCTGTAAGATAATACTGTCAGTGACAGCACTATTTTACAGCAGAGTAATTACATGTGATCAAAACACACATGTAGAGTGTGACAGGGTTGGCTGGGGCACAAGGATGCTGAAGTGCAGGGGCTGTCTGCCAGCTAGCCCCACAATGCAGCAACCTTGTGCACCAACCAACCCCTCCATTGGCTGCTGCCACCACCCAGAGCCTAGGACTGACCCCCCAGTCCCTTGCCAGCCCAAGGCTGCTCTTCCTGGCTAAGGTGACCACCTTTTCAAACTGTGAAAGTGGAATACTGAGCCTCCGCACCTCGTTCTGCCCTCCTGCACTGCGTTCCACCTGCTGAGCTGGGTAGGCCCCAGGGTGGGGAGCCCTGAGCCCACAGTGGGCAGCCTGCATCCACCCCTGCCCTGCGTACAAATCTGAAGGAGCATAGGCAGTATGGGGGGATGTAGGGGGACAGATTGAGGCCTCCACGGTGAGTGAGGGAATGGGGCAGGCTTGGCAGCTGGGACTGGGCGGTGCATGAGGCCCAGGGCTGGGGTGGGAATGCATAACTGCGGGGCCTGGCGAGGGAGCTGGATGGAGCCACTGGTAGCTTCTCTGTGGAGCGGGCTGGGGGGGCTGGCACTGGCTCCGTCCCCTATGAGTGGTGCTGCAGCCACTGCATTCACCCCCAGGGAGAGGGAATGGGGGAGACGTGCTCCTCTAGATTTGTACGCAGGGCAGGGGTGGATGCAGGCTGCCCACTGTGGGCTCAGGGCTCTCCACACTGGGGCCTACCCCCTCATAGATTTACCCACAGGCAGCTGAGGGAGCTGCTTTCCATCACTGCCTGGCTGGCCATGTGCCTGTGTGCACATGCACACTTGCAAATGACCCCCTATGTCCTGCTCCTTCTAGCCCCAAGCAGGCCCTTGTAGGCTGGAACCCTGGAACCCTGCCACTGGCAGTTCCCTGTATTTTTCCCCTTCAAAGGAGAAAAATCTCCATTTTTTCATGTTTTTCTGTGGTGAACAGAAAAACCAGATCCCTGCACATGACACTGGGACAAGAGTTGCTATGGTTTGACTGTGTTGAGGGGAATCTGGGACAAATGTTGTCCCAGTCATTCACCCCGGGACCGGGACTTAATGTTTGCATTTTGGGACTGTCCTGCCCAATTAGGAACAGGTGGTCACCCTAGCTCTAGCTCAATGTGCTGCGGCCCTGGGTGCACATGTAAATGCCATGTCCGGGAGCAGCTGACTCCGGTGTAAACTGTGTCAGAGTTTTATTGAATTGCATTAATTGCATGTGTAGATGCACCCACATATAGTAAAAGACAGCCTTGCCCCAGGCAGCTAACAATCTAAATGACAAAATGAAATAGACACAAAAGTTCTGTTATCCTCATTTTACATCTGGAGAAAGATTAAAACCATGTCTATAGTGCCTCCCTGCCCACTTCAAGACCCATTTAATCTGTCTATAGTGCTGAATTGCTGTGCTTGGCTGTAAATGGAAGAGGAACAAACAGCAGGCTTTGTTTCTTGGTAGGGGTCCTAAGCTAAGCAGTGAGGTAGTATAGGCAAGGTCTAAGTGATCTGAGCCTGAGAAACAAGGCTTTTAATTTCGTCGATATTGCACAAGAAAAATAAACCAGAAATATTTAGAATGTACTGTGCTCTTTGAATTATACAATAAAGTATGGGTATAAGTAGCTTAACATGAGCTTTATAAAACAGAAACAATGCATAGCGTCTTAACTCTAAGGGAAATCTTTGTACCCTTGGGACCTGGGACAACATCTAGGTATGAGACAACAACAGCATTTATCTCAGATCTCTAAATGCCAATGACAGATGGACATCTGCCAGAGTAGCTGCCCTTGGGAAAAGAAGCTGAAAGACTGGATACATAGGAATGGTGGAATAATGATATATTTATCATCATTTATCCTGTTATGCCCTTGCCGTAGGACAGTTTACAGTGGTGTTACTTTTCTTGTCAGCATTATAAAAGAATTGTTCTAGACCTATTTGGGAAAATACATATTGTACAAGACAGGAAAAAAGCCAGAGGCAGAAGGGAAAAATATATATATAATAAAACATGTTATAGAAATAAAAATGAATCTGTAATATGAGAAAATGCTTTTCTGAAATACATGTGTGTTGAATAAATATTCATCACCAGTAAGACTGTGCTCTATGTTGGTCACTGTCATCACAAAGCTCTGTAATTTAATTTTAAAAGAACTGTAACATATTTAATTAAGGAAGAGTCAGAGTGTTTTCTAGAAATCAAGAAAAGGCAGGTGGAGTGTACCTGAACCTTTCCAAAAATTTGTGTAGGGGCATCAGTGGAAGGAAAGTGTAAAATAAGCAATATGTAGCAATATGTGCCCTTCTTTTCTCTTTTTATAGCTCCTATGACTCTGTTTTAAGTTTTAGAAGTTCTTTGTGCTGCTGTTATAAATTGTCTGTTCGTTAGCTATGCCATACACTTAGATCAACAGTATTATTCCAGTGTCCCCTCCACAATTACTCATGTAAACAGGCACATTAAGGCTTATATTCAAATATGGGTTTTTTTCTTATTAAAAACAAATGATCACATTTAAAAGGAGCTGACCTGATCAGTTCACAGAATAGCCACATTATTCTTGACATACACTGTTGTCGTGCTATTGTAGCTCCCACAGTGTACTTTTCTGTACATGAGCATTAATAGTCACCATATAATTAGGAGCATAGGAAGGTAAGGCTGGAAGGGACCTCACAAGGTCATTTAGTCCAGCCCCCTGCTCAAGGAAGGAATATAGTTTCATAGTTTCTAGGGTCAGAAGGGACCTGAGTAGATCATCTAGTCCGACCCCTGCCATGGCAGGAAATAGTACTGGGGTCAAACGACCCCAGCAAGGTGTTCATCTAACCTCCTCTTAAAAACCCCCAGGGTAGGAGCCTGCACCACTTCTCTTGGAAGTTGGTTCCAGACCCTAGCCGCCCTGACCGTGAAGTAGCGCCTCCTGATATCTAGCCTAAACCTACCCTCTGCCAGCTTGTGACCGTTATTCCTGGTCACTCCTGG